TTTGGGCCAATCACCAGGAGACGGAGAGTTCTAGTCCCGCCTTAGGCATGAAAGCCATCTGGGTGACTTTAGGCCAATCATCAGGAGATGGTGAGTTCTAGTCCCGCCTTAGGCATGAAAGCCAACTGGGTGACTTTGGGCCAGTCACCAGGAGACGGTGAGTTCTAGTCCCGCCTTAGGCATGAAAGCCAACTAAGTGACTTTGGGCCAATCACCGGGAGATGGTGAGTTCTAGTCCCGCCTTAGGCATGAAAGCCAGTCGGGTAACTTTGGGCCAATCATCAGGAGACGGTGAGTTCTAGTCCCACCTTAGGCATGAAAGTCAGCTGGGTGAGTTTGGGCCAGTCCCTGTCTCTCAACCCAACCAACCTCACAGGGATGTTGTTATAGGGAAAATAAGAGGAGGAAGGAATATTAAACACAGGTAGTCCTCGTCTTACAACCACAACTGAGCACAAAATTGATCTTGCCAAGCGAAACATTCGTTCAGTGAATTTTGCCCCGTTTTACGACCTTCCCTACCACAGTTGTTAACTGAATCACTGTGGTTGTTAAGTGAGTAACACGGTTGTTCAGTGAATTCGGCTTCCCCCATGGACTCTGCTTGTCGGAAGGCCGCAAAAGGGGATCCCATGATCCTGGGACACTGCCACCGTCATACATACACCGTGAAGAGTTCGAATTTTGCCAAGCGCCCGAATTTTGCCATTGCAAGTGTGAAAAAAACGGTCACTTTGTGCTCAGCGCCGTTGCGAACTTTGAACGGTCACTAAACAAAGGGTTGTAAGACGAGGACTGCCAGCTTGGATTTTTTTAAAAAATAAAAACGATAACGGCCGGATGTTAAAATAAACAAATCGTTCCGCTGCTGCCTGTAGGTAAATTCAAAGGGAAGCGACGGAAGGGCAGATGGGAAAAAAAAAAGAGAGAGAGAAAGGACATTTTGTCGGCCATCGAGAAGGTCGGTGGAGAAGAACCCTGCCGATTCGCGGAGCTTTACGCCCTCCCTGGGCCTACCTGGGAAACACCTGTTCCGACCACTTGCTCAAAGTTAAGAGCGCCCTCATCTCGTTGCTCGGCGTCCGCTCGGCCTTCAGCTGCTGCAGTGTGTAAACGTAGAGGGTGAGGTAGCCTCCCGACGACAGGGACGCTTGCAGGAAGTCTTCGGCTGCCAGTTCTGGAACCTGCAGGGAGGCCACAATGGGTCCCCAGCCCAAGTCTTGGTTGAGAGGAGGGTCTTCGTCCCACAAAAGGGGGGGGAGGACAATGAGGAGGAGGAGAAAAAGAAAAGAAAAGCTGTTAGACTTAACTTCGCGCCAGGGTACCCTGGACGTTTTTAAGGAGAGACGGGATAGCCATTTGTCTGAAATGGTGGAGGGTTTCCTGTTTGAGCAGGGGGTCGGACTAGATGACCTCCAAAGCCCCTTCCAGCTCTATTCTGATTGGTTGGTTGGTTGATTGAAATAGTATAAGGTCCCTTCCAGCTCTATTCTGATTGATTGATTGATTGATTGATTGATTGATTGATTCAAATAGTATAAGGTTTTCTGCCTGAGCAGGGGTTGGACTAGAAGACCACCAAGGTCCCTTCCAATATTATTATTATTATTATTATTATTATTATTATTATTATTATTATTATTATTATTATTATTATTATTATTATTTTGTTGTTCTTGTTGTTGTTTTGTTGTTTTGTTGTTATATCATCTACGCAATGATAATAATCATAGCAATCAACTGTGTAATAGCATTTAACAATAGCAATGGCATTTAGGCTTATATACCCACCCCATAGAATTCCCCTCCCCCTGGTTACAAAGTTGCAAAAGTTGTGATTCCCACGCCAATTAGATGTCATAGATCACACTCCCCAATTGTTACTAAAGGCAGGCGCTCCTCCTAAGACACCAGCCAGCCAAAATGTAATCAGTAATGACCTTGGTTCCCATAGCTAAGAATTGTTAGGGCTAACTTAAAACTACACTTCCCTCCTCCTCCCCTCCTAAATATGTGGCAACCGAAAACGAAGTGAAAATGGCTTCAGTTCCATTCGCTGCAGCGTTGACACAAAGCCCCATCCGCGGGATGCAGGCAGTACTGCATTTTTATTATTAATATTATTATTAAGGATAATAATATGGGGAAAATAAGACCGGTCCCATAGGGAAAAAAGAAAAGACAGAGAACCAATTCGGAAGTCCCGGCATGCAAACTTCTCACCTTCGTTAAAGTAGGCGGTGACACAAGCCTCCATCGTCATGGCCATGTGTTGGACAGATGCCAAACTTTGACAAGAGGCTCTTAAGAGCGGCATCACCCCTAAGCCGCGCACTGTGCTGTCAATCCAGCGGCAGAGACAAGCCAGGAGGGATCCTGCCGAGGCAGCACTGGCGTTGTTGATCACCATCAGGGCTTCGGCAAAGAGGCTGCTTAAGGATAGACTGCGAAGCTGGACATCGGCGCCTGCAAAGCAAACATAAAAGTTATTGTGAAACTCTTGAGCCAGGGGTCTTCAGACTTGGCCCTTTTATGACTGGTGGACTTCAACTCTCAGAATTCCTCAGCCAGGCATGCCTGGCTGAGGAATTCTGGGAGTTGAAGTCCACCAGTCATAAAAGGGCCAAGTCTGAAGACCCCTGGTCTGGATCCAAGCCCGCAGTTTCCTCAAAATGGCCGACTGAGGAATTCTGGGAGTTGAAGTCCACCAGTCATAAAAGGGCCAAGTTTGAAGACCCCTGGTCTGGATCCAAGCCTGCAGTTTCGTCAAAATGGCTGACTGAGGAATTCTGGGAGTTGAAGTCCACCAGTCATAAAAGGGCCAAGTATAAAAGGGAAGGCTCCACTGATGTGTGCTCTCTCTCTTCCGTTTTCCTGCTGTGTGATGTGTTGGATCCTGCTATATTACGTGTATGTATATTGTTCCTAGTGTATGATATTGTAGACAGTGTAAGATAAACCACCATTTAATATAGACCGCTGTTTACTGTGTTTACTCCTGGGTTATCTCGTGCATAAGACTGTGCGTGCTCTGACAAAAGTTGATCCATGCGACTACTGCTCTCCAGATGTTAGCTACAAGAGGAGAAGCAGAGAGCCCACCAGGGATGGGGCAACTCAGCTGGTGCTCCACCACTTGGTACAAGACCAGTGGTCCATTCCTGGCCTTTCTAAGCGACAGGGAGAACCCTGGTCAAGCAATAGATCGGAATTTCCAGACAGGAAGATCAAACCACGGACTCGGTGCCATCCCTCTGCCCAACTCTCACCCTCACTCAAGCCGGGTTTTCTTGGCGCTCACCTGGAGGACTAAAGAGGGCGATATCCTCCAGCAGTTTTGAGAACTCCTGCTCCAGGACTGCTGGAGCAATTGTCCCATTTTGTTCCAGAAGACCAAGGAAGCGGACAATCTGGCGGATGAAGGCTTGGCACTTCAGGCTGGCATCCTAGAGAGAGAAGACAGACAAGGAACGGCACTCCCTCCCTCTGTCCTCACTCCAACAGAATCGGTGGGTGGGGGAAAGGAGGAAGGAAGGGAGGGAGGGAGGGAGGGAGGGAGGGAGGAAGGAAAGACAGGAGGAAGGAAGAAAGAAAAAGAAAGGAAGGAAGGAAGGGTA